GATAATATGGTACTTGTAGCCCCCTAGGAGAAAAGTGATAATATGGTACTTGTAGCCCCCTAGGAGAAAAGTGATAATATGGTACTTGTAGCCCCCTAGGAGAAAAGTCATAATATGGCACTTGTAGCCCCCTAGGAGAAAAGTGATAATAGTTTTGAACCAGTTAATTCTAATTTGTTATTTTAATTTCAATACAAGAGTAGTTCTATCTATGTTTTTAGTCAATTAATGTTTCTCAACTTCAGTTGTTGTTATGTGGTGTAATTGTCTATATCTCAGCTTCGAGAAATTATAGAATATTAAAGTTCTGTTCTTTTCAACTGTAAAAACATTTCAGCAGGGATTGGCATTACTAGCAGAACAAAGTGATAGAAGTTTAGCTTGGTGATATATTACTAGAAGAAAAGCTGCTAATGGCTTTCATTACAATTACAGTTCTAACTTTTTTAAAGCTTTTGATAAGCATACTTTATCAATTTGTACTTAATTTGAATTATGATGTTGAAGTAGGATACAAAAAGAAGTATTTTTTTGTGGAACAAGTTGAGATAGACTTAATTAGTTCATTTTGCATTCGACCATATCAAGTTTCATTTCACTGTTAGGCCTTGTTTGCATTAGGCCTAATTAAATACTTAAATGAACAAAGAAAATCACAAATATTAAGTGAAACCATCTGATTAAAAATTAAAAAAAAAATTGACTTACTTTTAATTTTGGTATGATAAAAAAATAAAAAACTTCTGTTTTATAACTAACACAGAACCAGTACCTATGACAAACAAAAGATGTCCATAATATTGTACCAGCCTACAATCCAGGATTCCCTAGCGAGGAAGGGTTTATAAAAATTCTTTGTTCTGATTTTAGAATACACGTGTGCCGCTGTACTCGTAGTAGCTACTTTTGGCCAAAAAAAAACCACATTTTTGGTGCTAGCAATTCTACGAAAAGGATGCAGTAACATTATTATTATTTTGTTTATACACACATATATCAAATGTTATCTATCAAAATATCCTCTCTTTTTTTTTCTTGACCCTAAAGTTCAAACATGTCTAAACCAAATAAAATGTTCTGCAAAGAAAGTTTTAACCAACCTTTGTGGTGAAATTTTGTTATTACTTGGTACCATTTTTTAGCTATTCAATTTAAAATCTGAGATTTTTGGAACGTAAGAAGTTTATTTGTGAGTGTTTCAAAGTTTTATTCTTCTTTCAGATCACCTACCTGTTTTATCACACGTCCAGAATTACTTAATGTCTGTACGGTACATAGAAGAACTTCAAAGATTTATGGAAGAAGACAATTACAAGTTTGTTTCAGATCTTTTTATGATTGGTTTATGGTCTTTGTAACTAAACATTATTTATAAACAGAGAGACATAAAGGTAGAAACTGTTACTTGTATGTATTGAATAATAGATTTGTGTTGTTGTTGTTGTTTGTTATTAAGCACAAAGCTACATAAAGGGCTATGCGTGCTCTGCCCACTATGGGTATCGAAACTCGGTTTCTAGCAGTATAAGTCTGCAGACATATCACTGTGCCACTGGGGGGCAGGTTTGTGTTAACTTCACGTCATCATACTTTTTTCTGAATCTTTATTCGTTTTCTTTACATGACAGTCATTTTAAATAGCGAAATAACTTATTATTACAGTGTGTAAATCTTAAGAACGATAAATTACAAGAAAAAAAAAGAAAATGTGAATAATTTCTCTAAAGTGTTTTATATTCTGTCTCTAGGAACAGTTGTAAAATAAAATATAAATCCCACTGAAACTCTTGTTATCATTTGTAATATATTTAAAACATATTTCTTAACTACATTCCCATTATATAATATGTTACTTTACATCTTAGTAAAGTTGGGATCGTTTTGAAACTTGAGAGTGTTCTGTTCACCCGGTGAGATCTGGTTGCATCAGTTTGATGCACTTGTTGGGTTTCTTTTATTTTATTGCCAAAAAAACTAATGGAAGTAATCGTTTGAAACTTTATAAATACTTTCTACAGGTTATATAGCTTCTGTAAATAAAGTATCTCATTTTTGTATCGGTATTTGTATGACTTTGAAAGTTTGAAAGATGTTAGTGACATATATGAAGTTTTGAAATGGATATTTGTGGGATAATGTATTTGTTTCTGTACAATTTTTTGTGTCTAATAGTGAGACATGATCGGTACAAGTAATTGTAATATTCCATAGCAATATGTCTTTTAAAAACCAATTTAAAATACTGATCTTAGGTTTAAGATTTAATTACCAATTTTTATGTCTTCCTACATTCCTTTTAAAACTTTCCTGTAAAATTTTTATTTTACAAACTGTAAATTTTATCTTTGTTTGAGTCAAAAAACAACACACACACAGCTGCAGTTTACAGTCAATGACATACAATAAAAATCATTTTGTTTATCATCGGTACTGGTTCTGTGTTTTCTATGAAACAGAAGTCTTGTTTGTCATAGGTACTGGTTGTGTTGGCTATAAAACAGAAGTCTTTTGTTTGTCATAGGTACTGGTTTTGTGTTAGTTATAAAACAGAAGTCTTTTGTTTGTCATAGGTACTGGTTTTGTGTTAGTTATAAAACAGAAGTCTTTTGTTTGTCATAGGTACTGGTTGTGTTGGCTA